TGTTGGCTCTGGCCCTTCACTGTAACATACCTATGTCGCTCAAGTCAGCCCTGGCGTCTTGCAGACTCATGAGTATCAGTTCTCCTGTCATTTTGATTCAGGCTCAGCATGAACTCGTCAGGTAGCTCTAATACCTGGTGTTTGTTTTCTTTTTCCTTCTTTCCTCCTTTTCTCTTTTTCTTTTTTAGTTGCCGTTTAAGAGGGAAAGTACCAGTGTTCAGATTTGAACTATAATAGTTTGTATATTCAACATTTGAAGTATATTCTATTTTGTTGTACTCTTGTTTCAAAGTGTATTCAAGTAGGTTTTCTGAAATATAGAAGTGAAATTTATCTTGTGGTTTGGTCTCTGGTGATATTTTTCAAAATACTCTAAAGCCAATATAGGATGTTGTTTTAGTTAAGAAATAGAAGAAGTCTGGTGTTTTCTTACTACATAAAGAAATGCTACTCTGGTTTTGTCCCATTATACTAATATTGGTAACTTCCTGCACATTTCCTTTATAACTATATTTCCTTTATAACTATAATTGCCTACTTAACAAATGGCGTGTTTTAGTTGGCCATACTTGATGGATTTACATACATGAAGCACTTTGGGCACTAGTGGTGGACTGCTTGCCTGGCATTTGCAGCTCCTGGGTTTGTCCTGGCACCTCACACATACACAGTCACTTTCAGTCACATGGTTTGCGTCTCCATCAGACCTTTTTATGGGTAGAAAGTAAATCTAGCCCTTACAGATGAAGGCTGAGGCACCAGACAATCACACACATCCTTTAGTGTTGTACATAATTAGGTCCTCTACATCTTGGTTTTTTCTTCCACAAATAAAGTTGTCTATCTTTTTAGATAATTAGATGAACTGTTTAATATTTTTTGGCCTTTGTATATTTAACACGATGCTACTTATATCAGCAAAGATTTTTTTTTTTATAAAGTTTCCTTTCTAACCTTTTTTTTTTTTTTTTTAAAAAAAAAAACTAAATTGATTAAAAAAATATTGTGTGTGGGTGTTTTGTCTGCATGTCTGGCTTTGTACACTAACACTGTACTGGTGCCCCAGGAGGCCAGAAGAGTGTGTCCAATCCACTGCGACTGGAATTCTAGATAGTTATGAACTGCCCTTTGGATTTTGAACCTGGTCCTCTGGAAGAGCAGCCAGCACTCTTAACCTGCTAATCCATCTCTCCTGGCCACATCTCTTTTCTAACCCACAAACTTGCCCAATGGTACTTTTAAAAGTAAGAGTCTAGATTGTTGATTCCTTATCCCATTGAGAGTTAACCTCATAATCTACGCTAAATATTTCATCTTTCAAATCAATACTGTACAGTTAACTTTTGGCTAGATTGTCCATAAAACTCAAAAGGCTGTGCATGACTAGATAGAGCATATCCAGAGTTTGGTTACTTTTGCTAAGAGTCTTAACAGCTCAATTGTAACATGCTTTCTGTGTTTTTAGTTTGAACTGTCTTCTAAAAGCAACAGAAAAAGTTTCAGGTAAACATCTAAAACCTAAACTTGCAAATGTAACTACAGCTTCTGAACTCCTTTCAGAGCAGTAAGTCAACATAATGAGGTTACAGTTGTGTCCAGCATTTTTGGAGAAAAGCCACAGAAACAATGGCTTGATTGCATTTCCCAGAGTCTCCAGCCTTTGTGCAGGACGAATAGCTTGTGTTTAGTCCTTAAATCACTTTCCAGTAGCAATTCAGCCTTCAGTCACTTCTCCAGATGATCTGGAAACCTACCTCTAGGCTGGATCCTTTGCTACAGAGATCTCACTTCAGCAAACATCCTTAACTGATCATTTTCCCCTCACATACTCTTGGTCCAGCTGGTCATTCAGTATTTCTCCATTTCTTTCAAAATTTACTTTTATGTATAGTGTTCTACCTGCAGGTCAGAAGAGGGCACCAGATCTCATTATAGATGGTTGTGAGCCACCATGTGGGCCTGGGACTTGAACTTAGGACCCCAGGAAGAACAGCCAGTGTTCCTAACCTCTAAGCTATCTCTCCAGCCCCTAGACCATTTGTTTTTAAATAGGGAGCCTGCAGTGCTCACTGAGGTTCACCAGTAGCCCAGTTTCCAAATCAGACATAGAAGTCACTCCTCCTACCATGAGTCCTCAGGATAGAACAAGTCATGAGGCTTAATCGTAAGCACCTTTACTTATTTATCAAGCCATCTCAACAGCCCTATTTTTTTATATATATATTTTTATGTTCCTGTATCTATGTATGTGTGCCACACACAGGCAGTGTCTGTGGAGACCAGAGGAGGGAGTAGGAATCCCTGGAACTGGATTACAGTTGTGAGTTGCCATGTAGGTTCTGGGAATGAAACCTGGGTCCTTGGGGGCTGGAGAGATGGCTCAGTGGTTAACAGCACTGGCTGCTTTTCCAGAGGTCTTGTGTTCAATTCCCAGCAACCACATGGTAGCTTACAACCACCTATGAGATCTGGTGCCCTCTTATGGCATGCACACATACATGGAGGCAGAATGTTGTACTCACAATAAACAAAAACTCAAATCCTGGGTCCTTTGCAGGAGCAGCAAATGCTCTCAGCCTGTGAGCCTTCTGTCCAGCCTCTTACTTCAACTTCCTCTTGCCCTATCTTGTGCCTGAGTTTGCTTCTCAAACTCAATTTGGCTTTCCATGATATGCTTGGCTTATTCCCAGCCTAAATGGCTCCTCTAATTTTTTTTTTTTTTTTCCCCTCTTTTGGTTTCCAGAGATTGGAAGAAGTTAATGTCTAATATACAAGCAAACACTATTGAATGTTTAAGGGGGTTTCATTATAACAGCTATTCTTCAGATAGCTGCCTTGTTTTTTTCTACCAAATTGTGGTCTAGATTTTGACTCTAAATCTTAGGTCACTTTAATTGCCACATCACAGTTCTTCCTGAGTGCTGGATTAAATTGTTCCCTTTAGTATTATTAATAGGCCATAGCTTTTACCAGGAGTCTGTATGCTGTCTCAGGGACCCCTTGTCACTCCATTCACATCTAGTTATCCTCCAGGTCTACTGAGGCTATGTTTTGTATGCCTTTCCTCTGATAAGGTCTATGTAGTTCAGGGTGTCAGAAAACTCATTATCCTCTTCCCCCAGCCTCTGGAATGCTGAGATTTCAGGAAGCTAGAGTTGAGGTCAGCTTGGGCTAAAGTGGGCCCAAAAAGCCAAAATAAAGGGACATGTGAATTTCATACACCATTGTGATTGCTTTATATTCAATGGCCTCTTACTTTCTTGGCTAGTGTCCCAACTATCCCAGGCACACATTTCCTCATTAAGCCATTCTATCCATGGCATCTCCTCCACCTATTTTCTTATAGGGCTGGAATTAAGACACATCAAAATAAAAATCCCCTGAAGTGGGCTTGGACATCTTACTTAGAAAAAGGTCTGCTTGAGTGAGGCCAAGACCTGAAAAGTTCTAAGGCCGGTTGCAAAGGGGAGCTAGAAAGAGCAAGTGTTCTTAGGAAGAGGAAGTAACTTCCTTGGGACAATGAGGTAGGAGCACTGCTATAAACTTGGGCTACAAGCATAGTTAGTACCAAGCTGGGCAACAAAGCAAGAGTGCCTTAAAAAAGGTGGAGTTAAGGAAAGGAGGGAAAAAAGCAAATAGGCCAAAGACAGTAAGTAAGGGGTAAGGCACAAGGACATTACTAGTGGTTGAGCCTCTGACAATGCAAATCTGTTGGAAACTACTTACTTTGGCTTTTGAAACAGGGTTTCTATATCCTTGGCTGGCCTTGAACTTGCTTTATAGTTGAGAATGACCATGAACAATTGATCCTTCTACCTCTACTTTCCTAGGGTACTACCATGTCCTTCTGGTTGGTTGCTTAAAGTGTCAAAATGTATATTGAGTGTGGAAACGATAGCATTTGAACCATATACCATTAAAAGATCCAAGACTCCCAATTCCTTTTGAACTAAAAAACCAAAGCCAAACTAAAAGCACTGTTATAAGTCTATTTTATTAATTGTAAATAATATTTAGACTCATACATTAAAACATTTATCATTTTACCACCAGTAGGTTTTTTTTTTTTAATTTTTTGAACAGTCTTCAACAACTGGAAGTGAACACTAGGTTATTGTTTCCACTCATATTCTCGGAGATGAACCCAGTCATCTGACTGTCTTTAGGATTTTTTTTTTTTTTTTGAGGAAGGGTCTTCATATATAGGCCAAGCTGGCCTCCAATACACAGATTTTTTTTATCACACCTGGCTGCTCAATAGGATTTCTGGAGTCCTCATCTCAGAAGGAATTTTCACTATTATTCTTAGCCACTGTTCCACGACTGTTCATAAAGCTGCTTGTAAAAAGCACATCCAAAAGTCATGGAGTAATCATCACATGTACAACAAAAAAGTACAAATACTTAACAATGGCTAAATATCGAAAACTACTAATTAATTGAAAATGAACTGGAATTTCAAGAAACACAACGGAGAAGTTGGAGGCATAGCAAACAGCAGCGATTATCTGTGAATAATGTACTATGAAGTGACAAATCCCTCAAGGCTATAAAATAGTTCCTTAATGTACATTCTGTTAGATCATCAAATAAAAACAATTTGAAGTTTTAAGGAAATTATGCCTATTCCTGCCAGGTTCTAAAACATCTAAAATGCTATATAATTCACTTAATTTTTAACATCAAGATATAAAAAAATAAATATTGCCATGCATTTCTTGCTGACATTTAAAAATCCCACAAATAAATAACTTGAAATGCTGTCTAGAAAATTTCCTACATCTTAATTCTGAGGGGCTTACAAATGAGTTTTATAGCACCCTCAACTTAAAAACACAAACAAAAAACAACTTCCAGTAAGTAATTTAATGCCCTTAAACGATGGAAAATTAACAATACAAGCCAAAACTGGAGTGCAAATATTCTTTTTGCTGCAGGTTTTAATTGTAAAGGTTTGTGAACAAATTCTTTTTCCAAGGGCATGCTGGAAACCATGGAGAGTGAAGTGGCAGAAACTGGGTGTCTTGTTTTTCAGGCAACTTCTTATCATACTTCAATTTCCCAAAACATCCCTGGTTAAGACGCTCATGATTAATATGATGCAGTGTTTATAAAAGTTCATTAGGCTCCTCATTAAAGCTGAAGTCACACACTAGTGACAGGTGGTCTGAGGGATAATGAAAGGACGGGAGCCGGTTGGGCCCAATCTGTTCTTCAGTGAGCAGATCCAAAGCAGATGTGACACTCAGAGCATGTCTGGAGTACCAGATGTAGTCCAGGGTGTGGCGACACTCCCCTGAGGTGCGGATCTTCCAGGTCGTGTATGGAGGCTCGGACTGTCCATCAGGACTCAGCAGTTTGTAGGCGCTGTTGAGATTGAGGCTGGAGGAAGCGAAGTGTTTGTAGACCTCTTCAGTTGGCTCTGCATTGAAGTCCCCACAGACAATCAGGGGAATCTTGGCTTCTTGTGTGATGTCCTGGAGGTTCTGGAGAAGGTCGCAGCCCTGAGCTGATCGAAACCTCTCCCAGCCAGTGCGTGCTTTTAAGTGGGTGACAGCAACACAGAATTGTCGGCCTGATTCCTTGCACTCCAGGGTCTGTGCGATGGCAACCTGATTGGTTTTTAGGGTCATGGCTGTCAGCCTAATATTGGTGCTGCTGATGAGCTTGAAACGGTTTTGAAGAAAAAATAAAGCACAGCCATCTGGTCCATTGTTATGTTCAACATCGAGACATGGGGACCAGGGCTTGGGAAAAAATGTGCCTTGGTAGCCCAGTCTACTGAGGAGTGGATGGAAGGTGTCAAAATAATGGTCCACTTCTTGGAGGCACAATATATCGGGTTGGTAAGCCAAGATTTCCTCCAGAATAAGGCATTTCCTTTCTTCCCACTTGAGTGCTTCAACAGGACACTGTACAAAATTATCTTTGCCTTCTCCAAGAGCTGGAAAGAAAAGCCAAGCATCTGTCAACTACCACAGAATCATGACCTCAAAGAAAATGGGAACCCTAATGTGGTTTGGTGGTGCAGCACTGGGAAGGCAGATCTCCCTGAGTTCAAGGCCACTATCTGCTAGGCTATGTTATCAAACCCCAGCCCAGCTAAGGTTGCATACTGAGCCCCTGTCTGATAAATGAACAAAGCTCAGTGGTGGGCCTGGAGGTCCATATCTGCCCCAGATGCTGGGGTAGTTCTAAAGTGTGTTACCCTATCCAGACAAAATAACCTCATGCTATCTGCTGAAGCAAGCAAAAGTTTTTTTTTTTTGTTTTTTTTTGTTTAATATATACGAAAACTATGTCATATAACTATATTCTAAGATTAAAATCTTTGCCTTTAGGTTTAGAGAAACCTTGTAGTCCTGAGGATGTAAAAGTGTGCCACTTTAACATTAGTTTTAACACTGACGACAAGAAAGCCATGTGAACTGATTAAATAGATAATATTCAAAATGAATGAGACAAATGAATAGCTTTTTCTCCTTATGAACGAATATATATTCGTATATGTGTATGTGTGTGTGTATTATATATATAATACACACACACTCATATATATATATATATATATATATATGAAACTGTCAAAGATCAAATACTTTTTAAAAGATTGGTAAATAAACATGAAAATGCCTTTTCTTTTTAAAAGCAGTTTATAAACTTATTATGTTTAATTATGTGCATGGGGTAAGGGGAATATGCACATAAGTGCAGGTGCCTATAGAGGCTGGAGGTGTTAGGTCCCCTAGAACCACCTGGTGTGGGTACTGGGAATCAAACTCAGGACGTATGGAAAAGCAGTACCCGTTCTTAACCACTGAGCTCTTCCCTCACACCCAAAGATGCCTTTCCTTACAACTACACATGAAGGTATTACGGTGTAAGGATGATTGAGAAATGTAGTAGCAGGTGTAGTAAAAGGGGCCTTTTCTGCCACCAATACACGGGCTGTGCAGTGTCTGGTTTGACTGTTTTGAGACAAGGTTTCACTCTGTAGATCAAGCTGGCCTCAAACTCTGGTAGTCATCACGCTGACACAGCCTTTTGATTTTGAGTGCAGGGATTACAAGCCCTTATGGATCGCCAAGGCTAGTCTCAACCCTGTTCTACACATAGCCATACCACCCATTCAGTTTGTTTCCTGTCAGTGCTGTCATAGTGCTGTGGCTCAAGTTGTTGGCAACAGAAGGTCTAAGGTTATCCCACTGCTGAAAGACACCTCGATCCTCCCCATTGTTCTCCACAGCAGACTAAATTAAACAAGCTCAGCATACCTTGGGCAAGGATGTTCCACTGCATGACTCTAATGGAAGGGTGGCTACTGGGGCAATCTCTCCTTAGGGCCACAAAATCCCTCTGGTATCGAGGTGGACGAGTGTGCAGAACAGCTCTGCATTCCTCGAGAAGTTCCTTAGGATCAATGGGTTCCAGATGTTCTGGGTCAGCTGACACCAAATACTCCGGGTGCTGAGCAGCTGCACTGCTGTTGAGTGTCTTGGTGAGAGCACTGTAGAGCCTACTCGTGCCGTTTCCCATGGAACTCACTGAAGGAAAGCACAGACACATGCCAGCTGTCAGTATTCACTGTGAATATGGAATTTCTAGCCTCCCACTTCTATCAGGATAGGTAATTCAAATACTGTGTTGACCAATCTCTTCACAAAACCAAACCAGTTCATCTAACCTCAACAACCTCTTCTAGTTGCCTTTATATACCCACCCAGTCTTAAAACAAGCATTGCTTAACAAAATACTCGTTCTTTCAAGTTTTTCCTTTTTTGAGTGAGACAGGGTTTCTTTGTGTAACTCTGGCTGTCCTGGAACATGCTTTGTAGACCAGGCTGGTCTTGAACTCAGGGATCCATGATGGGAGATGTCATTTTGTAAATGTTTCTCGGTTAATGAATAAAGGGGCTGTTGGCCAATAAGGAAAGCAAGATAGGATTCTGGAAGATGTAGTAGTGAGGAATCAAGATGTAGAACTTTACAAGTTGTCAGGACCCTTTCTCCGGTAAGATAAGACCATGTGGAAACACTTAAGATTGATAGAAATGGGTTAATATTTAAGACAGAGCTAGCCAATAAGAAACACTACTACTAACAGGCCAACAGCTTTGTATCTAGTATAGAGTCTGACACAGCTCTGAGACCAGGATGGTGGGAAAGTGCTCGTAACAGATCCACCTGCCTCTACCTCTCAAGTACTGGGATTAAAAGACTTACACCTGGCCCCAAGTATTTTTCTTTAAGAATGATTTTTGAAGGGTGAAATGCAGAAAGCTGTAGCTGTCAACATAATATGTGAACAGATCCCCTTGGTTTCAGATGTTAGGTGTCCATCAGGTCTATAGTCTCTTAGAGAATCCTGTGATCAGCATTCAACATACTCTCTTCAAAAAACACAGGGCATGGTCTGGGGAGTGGAGGATTTGCCTGAATCCTGCTTACTTGATTTCCATTTAAGAGCTTTTTTCCTGATTGGCTACATTTTCTAGAACCGGAAAGATAGGACAGGTCCAGGAAGCAGCAGTGCCTGGAAAGAAGTGAATGCTAACTAGGCTTAGGGTTCCAATGTATGGTGTGTGGTATGATGTGGCCTACTGGTCTAAATGTGAATTGTCCCCCAGAGGCTCAGTTTGAATGCTTGGTTCCCAGCTGGTGGTGCTGTTTGGGAAGGTGGGCTTGAGTTTCTGTAGCCTGGACCTACTTCCCACTGTTTCCTGTGTGTGGATAAAATGATCAGCCAGTTTCCAGATCCTGACATACATACTTTCTTTCCTTGCTCTCTCTGTCATGAAGTTCCTCTGGAACTATTGGCCAAAATAAGCCTTTATAATTGCTTTCATCTGGGTGTTAGCATAAACAGGGCTAGGGTGCATGTGGAGGCTGGAGGCCATCAAATGTTTTATCTCTTTCTACTTTAGCTGGCCAGGGGGTGACTAGGATTATGGATAAGGGCAACCATGACTGTGGGTACCAGGGATCTAATCATGGACCCTCATGCTTATGGGGTAGGCAGTTTACTATCTCAGCCATCTCTCCAGTCCCCTAACAGATCCCCCTAACAGATCATGACTCATAAAAACCGACCTTTACACAGTTACCATTAGAGAAGTGGTTAGTTTTCTTGAGGTAGCTAAAGACCCTGGGTTTCTTTACTATAGCCCCATCTTGTCCTCTCAATTTTAGTTGAGCATGTACCAGTGCGTGCAGGTACCTGAGGAGGCCAGAGGGACTGGACTCCCTTGGAACTCAAGGTTACATTGATCTGTGAGCTACCTGAAATAGGTACTGTGAACTGAACTTGGATCCTCTGTAACAGTATGTGCTCTTATCTGCTAAGTCAGTGCTTCTCTTACTTGTGGATCTTGACAAACTCCCATATTAGATAGTTACATTATCATTCATAACTAGTGAAATTACAGTAACAGCAATGAAAATAATTTGTATGGTTGGGGGTCACTACAACATGAGGAACTGTATTAAAGGGTTGCAGCATTAGGACAGTCACAATTTGCTGTCTCTTTAGTAGTCAAGTTTTCTTTATAAGAATCTGAGATTAACAAGCAGCTGGTTCAAATTAGTGTCAATGGCAGGCCACCACAAATGTCCCTGTGTATCAAAATCAATTAGTATTAAAGTACCACACCCATAGGGTTTCTCTGCATAGTCCTGGCTGTACTGGAACTCCCTTTGTACACCAGACTGACTTCTAACTTATGGAGATCCTCCTGCCTCTGTCTCTCAAGTGATGGGACTAAAGATGTGCACCATCACGCCCTGCTCAAGCACCTTCTCTTAGTTAATTTTTCTCAACTCAAACTGGTCCTTCCTACCTAGAAATTTAAGTCTAAAGAGGCTTAGAATTCTTTGTACAATGGCTATGCCACCCAATGACAAATACATCACACAACAAAAAGGAGGGCAGATCTATGTCAGTTTGAGGCCAGCCTAGTCTACAGAGTGTTTCCAGGACAGCCAGGGCTGATATACAGAAACCCTGTTTTGAACCACCCCACCCTGCAAAAAACAAAAACCCAACCACCACAAAAAAAAAAAAAAAAAAAAAAAAAAAAAACTCCAAAGAGGGACTACTTGAATATACAACACTACATCACCCAGTAAGCCCATCATTGACCCCTGCCTCACTTGTTCAAGCACCCCACATATGCAAATGAACACCTCCCACCCAGGGTTTCAATGCCCAGTGTGTTCCAGACAATTCTAGCCTCCTGTAGACATACAGTGAACAAACAGACCCAAATTCTTGCTCTCAAGCAGTATATTCTGTACTGGGGAGACAAAGAACCATACTTTGCATTTGGTGAAAAGTGCTAAGGAGAACCAAAGCAGGGGAAGGTGAGATAGGGGTTGCAGTGGGCAGGGAAATAGCTTGTTTATCTGCGATGGTCGAGGATGGCTCTTCAAAGGATGTGAGCGGTAAGAAAAAAGCCAAACTGGATCTCCTGTAGAACAGTCTGGACAGAGGGAGAACATGTTTGAAAGCTGAGCAGTGTATGCAGAAGGGTTATTGGTGTGGCAGACCAGAGTGAGCGGAGGTGAGCTTACAGAGTGGTGTAGGCCTTTTCTGAGTCAAGAAGTTCTTGGAGAATTCTGAGTTGATTATTTGACTTATTCTTCCAAAAACACCTCACTGGCCAGAAGTATTAAAGATACACTATACCTCCCTCCTTTGGTTTTGGGTGACAGGGTTTCTCTGTATTGCTTTGGAGCCTGTCCTGGAACTAGGTCTGTAGACCAGGCTGGTCTTGAACTTACTGATCTGCTTGTCTCTATCTCTTGAGTGCTGGGATTAAAACTGTGTGTCACCACATCCTAGTGTGTGGTGTATTTCTTTTAATCCCAGCACTCAGAAGGAGGCAGAGAGAGGCAGATTTCTAGGTTTACTAGTTTGGTGTATGCAGTTATTTCCAGACCAGCCAGGGTTACACAGTAAGGCTGTCTCAAAACAACCACAACAACAGAAAGCCCCACCACAAATATAGGGCAATGTGGGCAGATTGAAGAGGAAAGAGAAAGCTCTGCAGTACAGGCATGCAATTCTAGTTACTTGGGAGGTTGAGGCAGGAGTATTCAGAGTTCTATGTTTGCCTGGCTACAAAGTGAGTTTCAGTTCACTTTGAGAGCCTGTCTCATGATAAATAAAAAGGTCTGAGGGTATAGTTCAGCTGCAGTGAGCTGGCCGGGCATGGGTCATCTGACCCCGGGAAAAGAAAGTGATTGTTTGGACTAGGTAGCTCAGAAGTAGCGTATCTGCCATGTGCAATGCCCTGTCCTCCACCACCAGGACTGGGAGGTGGGGGAAAGTGCATGAATGGACTGAGCTGGGGTGGGGAGCAGCTTGTGAAAGCTAAAAATCTACAAAGCGAGATCCAGAGGAGGAGAAAAGCAAGGAGGAAATGATCCGTAAAGATGGTTAACTTAGGGCCATCACCCAATGCTACAGACAACTAAAGCAAGATGAAAGGCGAGCAGACCTGGGCTTAGCAACACAGCAAACTTCAGTGACAACAGAATTTCTTATTTTGGTGGCAGTGTGAGGGGAAGAGGGAGAGGATAAGATAAGTTATTTTGAGAAAAATTTGCCTAAAAAGGAGAGAAATGTACAAGTAGCATGAACATTTTGTTTTTGAGATAGAATATTGATAGAGTAAATACTAAAGAAGTGTATTATTTCTGGCTTCTGGTACAACAGCTTGAGGAAGCTTATAAAACTCCATTCTTCTGTCCAAGACAGATGAAGTATGAAAAACAGTTATTCTGATGCTCAACAAGGACAAAGACCATACAATAAACTAAGCTTTTATTCATGAAAGCTATGAAAGTTCAGGTGAGGTAAGTGGCCGCAGTAAAGCTAATTAAATAATTAGGTCCCCACACATAACAGGCCTGATGGCTTCATTATAAATTATATTATTTCTATATGTAGCTGACTTCCTGAAAAGCAGCTCGGAGGGGCGCATATGCATATATATATATATATATATATATATATATATATATATTAAATATAGGCTTACTATACAGTCAGGAGTTCACACCTCTAGGTATTTACTTAACATTCATTTGAAAATACTGCTAGCAACCATGATGCCCTTCCATGTGTGAAGGCCCATTAAGTAAAACAGGGGAAAAAAAAAAACATGAGCGGACTCAGAGGAATGAATCTTACACCCATTCTGTTCTCTAAGGGAAAGAAGCCAGGTCCTTCCTACAAGTTGGACTGTGGATTCCCCCAGGGAACCACAGCAGAGAGGCGTGGTGGTTGCTGGGACAGCACAGGGACTCCCAGGAGAAGATTGGTTCTGTGAAGTAGGAGAATGCCCACATGGCTGTGCTGTGAACTAGAATGGCCCCCAAAGCCTCTTATGGCCAGATGCTAGGTTCCAGTTGGTGGAACTGGAAGTATGGCCTTGTTGGGGGTGGGGCTTTGAAGTTAAAAAACACACATCCCCACTGTGTCCCGTCTGCCTCTCACCTGCTGGTTTGAATTCTCAGCTGTTCTGCCACCATGTGTTTGCTC